AGTTGGCCAAGTGCACTCGACGAGTCGGGTCAAAGTTTGACCGTTGACTTTGGTTGACTTTTAGGGTTTGGTCAACAATGAGGGCCTTTGAGCCAAAGGAGGGGTAAAATGGTCTTTTACCCTTCTAAGGGTACCTAGATAGGGTTGAGTCTAGTCCTGAGAGTTATATTTATGAGAGTATTACTTTATGTGATTAGGTGGAGGCTAGATCGTATTTCTACCGAGTTAGAGATTTACCGTGACAATTGAGGTGAGTCTTCTCACTATACTTTACCTTGAGTGGTAATTAGACTCTTGTGACAGAGTTACTGTATGCTATTATGTGATGTGTTGCACTGCATTATGTCTATGTGATTTATGCCATGTGTATATTAGAGTATATCAGAGTTAGAACCGGAAGGTTCACAGAGCTAGGACCAGAGGGTCCACAGAGTTAGGGCCCACGGGCCCACAGAGTTATAGACTCGAGTGGCTAGTATGTGTTATGTATGGTATTTTGGGGAACTCACTAAGCTTTATGCTTACAGTGTTATGTGTTATGTTTTTCAGGTATCAGTGATGATTGTGGGAAGGCGCCGACATGATTCGTACACACGCATGGGTTTTTTTTTTGTATTTTGATCTTGGGAAATATTTGTGAAACAAAGTATGATACAATGGGATTTTGTTAATAAATGTGTTTGGAAAAATGTGTTTAAAAATGCGAAAATTTATTTTAAATTTTATGGCATTACAAATAGGGTACTAATATATGACTAAAATGCACATATAAGTCGCCACTATGCGGAGAAGAGATGACCATGGGGTCATCGAGGCCACCATAACGTGGTGAACCCTTCACCATGACGTGGTGTTACATCTGAATAATAGATCAAATGTGTTCATTCTCGTCCAAAAACACCCCCAAAAACCTTTGGAACTAAGCTCCAATGGTTTTCAGATGGGAGGATCAAGAGGCGATCAAGGGTGTATATGGCTTGGATTGAACATCAAATGCTGATGAGGTAGTTATCTTCTCTATTTTCCGTCTAGCTAGGGCTTAATGGTGTTTTTGATGAATTTAGCTAATTATTTAAGATTGTTTTAAGAAAGCTTGTCAGTAATGTAAAATCAACTGTGTAGAAGCCTTGAACAAGTGTTATGTGTGATTTCCATTTGAAATCCATATATATGAAGTTAAAGTTTGAAACTGTAACTAATAAAAGTGTTAATTGATGCATTAAATTAGATTATAATGAATGGGATGCTTAATTCATTTGTTTGAGTAGATTAAGACGTAGACAATTAGAAGATATAATTATGATCCATTAAGTGGTAATTTTGACCATAAGAGTCATTAAGCTCTTAAGAGGCTAAGAAAAGTTTTAAGAAACTTGATTATGTGTATAAACATGCCTAAGAGCAAAGAAAACGGATCAAGAATGCATCAATGAAGAATTGAAGAAAAAGGGGTTATTAGTCCTCACAAACTAACAAGGTTAGTTATATCACTCTTTAGATTTTGTATATATGTTATGTTATATATATATATATATATATATATATATATATATATGTGTGTGTGTGTGTGTGTGTGTGTGTGCTTGTGTGTGTGTATGTATGTGTGCATGTTTGCATGTATGTTGGATCTTGAGGCACAAAGTGAATGTCCTCATATTTCTAGATTAAGAATATATGTTTAGAAGCGTGTATCAGTGCATGCATGTATATTTAAAGTATGTATGAGGTATACGTGTAGAAACATGTATTAAAGCATGTATGTATAACAAGAGTGTGTACAGAGACATGAGAAGGGTATTTTTTAAATACCAAAAAGAAGATATAATATGAGTATATGTATTATAAACATGAGTAAGAGTTTGTAAATATTTGACATCCCCAATTTTCCAAACCAAATTATTTTTTCTTTACGCTTTCAAAATCAAAGTATCTTTTATTGTGGAAATTCTCAATACATTTTATATTTTGAGTTCATTGAATGTCTGAAATGGTAAATTTTTTGGGATGTCATAATCGACACATAACATATCTTACAATATAAAGACCTAATTACCCTGTATGCTATTGCATGTCTTCTTTTCAATCACTTAGCATACTATTTAAGCCTTCAACTGTTTTAACATTGTTACCTGTGATGCGTATAAACTGAGTGGGTCAGGTAGGGAAATTTGGTGATATACATAGGGTTTTCAATTCCACAACATTTTGATACATTATAAACCTGCAAAACCAACTATTATAAACAAACACATATATACCATATCTATAATATACTCTATACCTTAGTACCTATCCTGTCGGTCCTCATACCTTGATCCTATATAACGACCCTAGGAGATCTAACCAAAAGGATCAATAAGAACACAAGTTGACTACGCTGCTTCAAGAACTCCATGGCAGCAAAAGAGGATCAATAAGGAAAAAAAAATGCAGGGAATGGAGTATATAATATATGTGATCCATGCTTCATAAACTAGTGTGATTTAAACACCACAAGATAATTAAGTCAGGGCTAGGAATTGTTACTCTATCATTTCTACCCGATAGATAATTTAGGCATCTGAGGGGAAAGGAGTAAATCAAATCATTGAACCATTGTTTCATAAACAACGCATGGCTATTAAACCAAAGGTGGTTATCTAGATAACTATGCCTAGAAGTCGTTTGGCCCTAAGGTATTTTAACCCCAGACTCACTTATGTGGAAATATAATGTTAGACATGCCTAATAGTGTTTTATTACTAAAACACTCTATTTAGAAGTCTACGAAGTTCCCTCAAATACTTCATCAAAAGAAAAGTTGACACACAAAGCTCATAAAAAGAAATAAAGAAGAGGAACACTAATCTTGTGATATGTGCTTGGGGCTTAACGCCATCACTTTATGGTGCCGGCTGGCTTGAACCCTATAATTATAGAAACAAAGAAAGAATGACAACTGTTGTCTAGGAGGTGGTCCCGTGACAAAGATCTGACGGTCTAGTTTGTATGTGTATTAGGATATGGAGATTAAGGTTTTTGAGAATAGTGAGGCGGTCCCTTATTCTGGAGAATGGTTTCTTTTATACATGCTGACCTCTACACACGATCCTAATAGTATCCTTTGTCCCATATGAGTTAAAAGGACGTGGAGGAGTCCTATTGGCCGATCATGCGCCACTAATGGTCATCTACTATTGGTGTAGAAGCAATAGCGGACAACTCCCTGAGAGCTACCCCTATCGCTCTAGGGAGTGACTAATGATGTGTTGGCTTATTATAGACTGGAGATTGTCGTCTGGAGTTGGACCTGGGTGCAAGAGTGCCAAGTACCAAAGCTCTACCACGAGACCATGAGAGCAAGGGCCTTTATCAAGCACTAAGACAGGTAGCAACTGTTAATTAGGTCGTCCTAAAGATAATAGTTCTACTATCATTAAAATAATCTTAGAGGGATATCTTAACAAGTACCCTAGGCTAGTAGACGTCTACGTTGGCATAACATAGCTGATTTGTCCTAGTCTTGATTAGGACACTTGTTCGGTGAAGATGCATTGGACATTCGATGATGTAACAGAGCCGTTAGCACAGGCGGTTTCATTATGGTGATGGTTCGATATTCCTTCTTCTCATTTAAACCTCCTTTATCAGGAACAATTTTTCTTTTCACTCTTTCCATTCTCAACCGCTTACGACTTCTCTTTGCTTACTATATCTTCTTTCCTATTGTTGCTCTAAGAAACGATGGCAACACCACAATTCGGAATCATACCAAACCCATAAGAATCCAGGGCTCTTTAGTCCTGGTTCGGTTTCATGCCTGAACACGGGGTGCAATTTCCAAGGGAAGGGGAGGTTATATTTGACCCTAATGAGTGATTTCTTTGATGGTAAGGTCGGAGTCCTCATTCTGATTTTTGAGGCAGATCGGAGACTACCAATGAGTGATTTCTTTGATGAAATCATGCATCAATACGACTTCTCCATGGACTATTTGACCCTAAATGCTGTTAACAAGATTCTGGGGTGCTAGTCTGACCATAGCGTAGGCATTACATAACATTTGCTTCAACAAAGAGGATTGGGAGGATTACATCCTAGATGTGGTAGGGATAAGCGCCTCCTGGAGGGACCAGGGTATGATGCTCCAGTTCTTCATGGAGAAGAACAGTAAGTACTCTTCTCCTACTCCTCCCCCAAATTTTTTTGATAGGAAAGGCTTACCCATTTTGTATGCCATTTATCTTTGTAGGTATCGAAAGGGTTTTGTCATTTGAGATGGTTCTGCGGGAAAGTTCAAGGGAAATCTCAAGTACCGTGACATACCTATGGTGGAGACTCTTCCTTCGCCCGTTAGTGCCGATTGAGCCCTGGTTCTTTCCGCACCTTTTTCCATTAAGGGCGAGGGGTCTGCTACCCAGGTCGACCCGAATTTGGTGGATGCACCCGTTGAAGGTGTTTCTCACGATGATCCTCCGCCTCCAAACTCTGAAGATGAACCAGTGAAGGAGATGATAGTCCACGACGGTTGGGAAACAACCAAGCTACAAATAGCTTGGATGTACTCCCCTCTTGATCGAGACGTTGGTATGAGAACCATTGCAAAATGTCTTCTCAAGAGATGTAACATGGATTTCCTACTGGGGGAGTCTGACGTATTGATCAACATCCCCGATAATGATGCTTCCCGCCAGTCGAAGGGGATGAATAAAGAGGCAACATAACCACCTTAGGAAATAAAGAAAGAAATGGAGGATGCCACGGATCTTGGTGGTGGCGAGCTCAAGAAGAAGCCGATGGTTGACCTCCAAACTGCTCCTGGATTTACTTCGTCCTCGATAAGAGACACTGTTGTTTTGGGTGCTTCTCCTACACCATTGGTGGCTCATGACATTTATCTCCTAGAGTGAACTCTCACTCGTGAGTCCCTACACTCACAACATTCTATTTCATACGAGTAGAGTCATCACATGTTCCCTCAAGCCACCATAGAAGCATTGGAACTCCTTTCTAACTCCCATATGGCTAATAACCTTCAATATGCGGCGGGCCAGGTTTCCCCTTACTTGGTGGATGTGGTCAGATGCCTACGTTACATGAGCTGCAACTTGGTGGAATTAACTATCGTCAAGGCTGAGTGTGACGAGTTAAGGGAGAGGGTGACATTCCTTAAGGAGGAGAAATACAAGTTTAAGGAGCAATATGACCTCTTGGCCCATGAAAAAGCTTATGTGGAGGACCAAGTGACAAGCTTGGATACAGAGGTGGAGTATCTGTCTTGATAGGTGGAGGCCTTGGCAGGGGAGAAGGAAGCTTTGCAGGTGAAAGTAAAGAAATATGGTGAGCATTTGGTTGCTGAGGGGTTGTCAAGGAAGGCCTTAGAGGAGGATATGGCTAGAGTTTTCCAGGAAGGCATTGTTCGCGTGGTGGACCGGGTTATTAAGAGCACCGAGTTCTTATTGGGGGTATAGTGAATGAAGGGACCATGCATGGATTCTGGTATTGAGGGTGCTAAATAGGTGGTGCAGGATAAAGTAGCCACTGCAAAGTTTGACCCTGGGGAACCAAGTGCCATCATGTATAAGACCCATGCAATGCATGCCTCCGTGAAAGCTTTTATAGAGACAAAATTTGCTTCATATCTTCAAATGGGTGAGCTCTATTTGGAAGGACTTTGCCAATTATGCAGCAATCCTGACACCGAGGAGAACCCACCAGAAGGTAGCTCCTTGAACGATGAACCCTCCTCCAATCTTGTTGGTAAATGATCATTACTTCCTCTTGGCTGGTGTATGTTTAAGAAAAAAATATTTGAACAATGTTTGGTTTGTTTGTATCCTATGAGGTGCATCTATTCTTGTTTTTCCTCTTAGTGGGATTTCTTTCCAAAGGTTTCTGTTGGCTTGATGAATTGTCTGGGAAAGACTCCTACTTGCTTTGTAGGGTGTTAAGACTCGAAAGATTCTTCCTTTGACAGGTGAAAGTTGTTTAGTTAAACAACTTACATGTTTTACTAGGTTAGTTTGAAATGTGATTTTTGGATTTATACTTAACCAAAGTGTTTTGGTTTTGGCCTGGTAGTTCACGCTTGTAAACTCGGGGTTCATCCTTTTTTCAAGTCAATGGCCTATGTTTTTCGGCTAAGACCTTAGCTATCCTTCTCTTATGAACCTTGGCTGGTACACGTTTACCAGGGTATTCACTTTTAGGAAATGTTTTATGGTTACCTTTTAAGACTTTTTTCCGAGTCTTCGGCCGATGAGAATTGCACTATGGCTCTAGTCATCTAAGTTAAGCCGAGATTGTCACCTTGAGGCGTTTGGGACTTAGGTATCAATTTTTATATCAAGGGAAAGGTTATGAGCCTTTAAATCCTTTCCTCGTGTCATGGGTAAAGATAATGGTCCTTTGAGTTAGATTGACATGTTTTAGGTAAAATTTATGAGACTTTAAAGCCTATTGGCTGCATCCTTGCATCGATTTCGCTCAAGTGACATTAGTCCTTGTTGTTAATTGGTAAATGTGAACAACCTCTTATTGAAATGATATCAATCTTGAATAATAATAAACATCTGAATTGTTTTTGAAAGTAGTCAACTTCCATCATTCTATTGATAATGTTATGGAAATATGAACATTCTTTAGTGAGGACAAAAAACAACTAAACTTTGACATGAAAACGGGCCTAGAACTAGTGCTAACTATTAGAGTGTGATTATCCATTTCGAGTTAGAACACATTGCTTTCGCCATTGACATGCCTTATTCTGGATTTTCTCCTTGTTTTTGGAGTAAAAGTGGAGCAAATTGTACATATTCTAGGTCTGAGGGATGGGCCTCCCATCATGTGCTTTCGGGACATATGCTCCATTTTGATGCATCTTTACTATCTTTTATAGGCCTTACTAGGTGACACTTAGCTTTCCCTAAGGTTATACATGACTAGATTCTTTCTTCCTCAACACCCACTCTCCCACTTTGAAGTTCTTCACTCACACTCGCCTATTGTAGTAATTCTCGGTATGAGCTTTGTCGGCAACTTGGTGGAGTTGGTTGGCTTCACGTTTCTCATCAAGAATGTCTAAGTATTGATGTCAACTAGTTTCATTGACATTTGTGTTGATGTTCATCAGCCATAGTGATCCAGCCAAAACCTTAGGTCGAAGGACTTCCTTTCTGCCATATGTTAGGCTAAAGGGTTTTTCCCCAGTACAAGATCTTGAGGTCGTGCTAAACGATCAGAGTGGAAAATTCTTCTACCCAATCCTCATTAGACCTTATCAGGCATTTCTTAAGGCCATTAACAATAATATTATATGACACCTCAGTCTGGTCATTGCCTTGGTGACGTGCGACCGAGGTGAACCGCCGATGGATATCTTTTTCTTCACATCATTCATTGAAGGGACTTCCTTCATACTAGGTGCCATTGTCACATATTAGAATCCTTGGGTTGCCGAAATGTGTGAGGATGTTTTTCCACATAAATTTTATCATTTGTCTTCCCGTGATGATGGCTAGGGGCTCCACCTCAATCCATTTAGTGAAGTAATCGACAATGATGAACAAGAAGTTAGCTCCAACTGGGGTGGGTGGAAATGATCTAACAATATCTATGCCAGATTGATGAAAGGGCTAGGGACTACTAAGACTGGTTAGTGTCTTGGCAGAATGGTTTTGAAAAGAGTGAAAGCCTAGGATTCTGGGAACTTTTTGGTGAGCTTGTCCGCGTCCTTAATGATGTCTGGCTAATACACACCCCGACGAAGTACCTTCCCAGTGAGTGCTCATGCACCTTCATGAGCTTCGGCTTCCCCTGCATGTTTGTCTTCTAAAAATCAATGTCCCTCGGAATGGGGGATGCACTTGAGCCATGTAGGTATCCCCTCTTGTACAACTGTGTGTCCCTTACCACCAACTGCGGGTCCTTGACCTTGATCCTCCTAGCCTCTGCGGGGTCATCTGGGAGAATTCCATGTAGGAGATGGTCTACGAAGGGTTTGGTCTAATTTAGAGTTGTTGTGATACTGTTAACCTTCTTGTTATCTATGCTTCTCTCTAAGAGAGTCTACACCAAGACTTTCTTGATTAAGTGATCGAAAGATGTCCATGCTAGCTTGCTAAGAGCATCGAATCTTGCATTTTCTCCTTAGGGGATTTATTTGATTGAGAAGATCTTGAATGATCGTGCTAACTCTTGCACTTTGTTCAGGTACATTTTCATTGTTTGGTCTTTGGCTTAGTATGTGCCATTGATCTGATTGGTAATGAGAAAGGAATCACTAAGGGATGCAAGGCATTTCGCTCAAATTTCTAGGGCTAGTCAGGTGCCTGCTAGAAGTGCTTCGTACTCAGCCTCATTGTTAGAGACCTGGAAGTTGAATCTTAAGGCATACAAGGTTTCATCATTGTTGGGGGTTTTGAGGATTAGACCTTCCCCATACCTTTCCTTGCTTGTATCCCCATCAATGTGTAATACCCAAATTTCTCGGCTCACCTCTGTTTCTGAGGGATCTATTGGAAAGATCATTGGCCCGTCCTTGAGTGCGTCACAAATCTAGAATAGGAATACCAAATATTGGTATTTAATGTTAGTGCATGGCAATAGTATATGTCATGATCATCCAACTCGATCCCCCATTTTGCTAGGCATACTAATTTCTCTGGCCTCAACATGATCTTCTTTATTGGGTAACTGGTCAGAACCTCAGTCTTATAGGCTTGAAAATAGTGCCTGAGACACCAAGTTGCATTGATTAATGTGAGCACCAGTTTCTCTATGATCGGGTAGTTGATCTTAGGACCTTGTAATGCTCTGCTCATGAAGTATATTGGCAATTATTTCTTGTCACTCTTGACAATTATCACCAATAATATGGCTTTCTAGATGTTGCCAAGTACATTTGCAAAGTTTCTCTTGGCATGGGGTTGTAATGGTTGGGAGCTGGTGCACAACTTCTTTTAGGTGTTGCATGACCTTTTAGGCCTATGGTATCCATTGTAATTGGTTCTTCTCAATGAATCCTTTCAAGGTTTTGAAGAATGGGATATCTTTCTCTGTCGACTTGGTGGTGAATCTGCCAAGTTTCGTTAACCTTCCATTGATCTCTTGTACCCATTTCAGGTTGTGAGGGGTTTTAGAGTTGAGAAATTCTTGTATCTTGGTATTGTTCATCGATATCCCTTCATTTATTAGTTGATAACTCATGAATTTACCTTCATCCATCCCAAGAGACTACTTTCCCGGGTTAAGGCTCATATGCGCCTTCGTCAAAGTTTGGAAGGTTTCTTCAATGTCGCGAAGAAATGATACCCCGTGATGGATTTTAATGACCATGTCGTTGACATATACCTCAACATATCTACCAATTTGAATTGTAAACACTTTTTCAATCAGGAGCTAGTACGTTACCCTAACGTTCTTAAGGCCGAACGACATCTTTTGATAACAAAAGGTGCCACAATCGGTATGAAAGGTAGTTTTCTCCTCTTCTTCTCTTTTAATCTAAACTTGATGATAACCCTTGTAGGCATCAAGGAAAAGCTTGAATTGAAATCCATGGTCATGTTGGCTTGGTTGTTGGATTTCAGAAATACTAATTGATCTACTTACGAGAGAGTTGACTAGAATGGTCATGTTGTCTTGGTTGTTCGATTTCAGAAAAGGTTACACCCCAAAATGGTCCCGCCTCCTAACTGTCATGCATGGCTAATCATAATTTGACAGAACTATTGGTATTTATTGGAATGATTGATAGGTCTAGACTATCGTTAATAACATTCGGCTAAGACTTATTGGTAATGATACTAGTTCATGTCAAAGGAAAAAGCTAAGTGCTGAAGCGATGTACTGACCAAGTTTCCAGATGATAATGTTGAAATAAATGAGATGAGATGATGATAAGTGAGAGGCCTTAACTTTATAAATGATCTAGTCATCTACCGGAGTATAAATGATGACCACGAACTATTGTATACATTCCAGTGGAATGCTAGCAGGCTCGCAACCTATAGGTGTTATTGAACTACATCTTCACTAAATATGTACTCCATTTCTCCTGTGGTTACCTTATTGACATTCATTGCTAAGGAATCCCTTTAGTATAGTTTTCTATCCCGATGCTTACAATGATCCTTAGGGTATGACCCTTGAGACTAGTAGTTTGGGTCATAATGTGAGGATAACGGGAATATAATCATGTTGAATTGTTTGATGAAAAGAACATAATTAAAGAATGTAATTAGTGTGGCTTGAAACCCTATATGCTCATTGGACTTTCCCAAGTATGATCCAATAAGTTTCCTTGTATCACAGGTAGCGGTAGAAAAGCACATGTTTGTTCAAATGATTATGATCAGATGATAATGGAATATAGGGCAATAGGTTACTGTTCTATTGTAAGGCCTGCAAAACTTTCGTTTATGCTTATGTATTGTATTGACGATAACATCCTAAAGTTTTTAATATAAATAAAATAATTTTCTTAGGAAATTCTTTGATAAGATTATTATGATGTTTTTTGGAACAAATTCCCAATTATAATTCTTTAAAAATAATACTCATATTTTTTAATATGCATAAATAAATCAGTCTTTTCTGGCCTTGAAATTGGGGATGTCACACCAGGAAATAGGCATATAATTCACATATTTTCAATCGATATTTAATACCTTAATTAATACTTTTATTAAAATCATGCTCATGAAAGCAAATTTACACTCACCTAACTTAAGTGGAAGATCCTCGGGAAAGCTAGCTCATGTGCTAT